CCGGCTATCATGCACATTATATCTGCTCAGAGTGCTTTCAACAAAATGGCAGACATTTGTATGAAAGACCTGGTAAAACTAAAAAATTCTAACCACACGATGATGCTAGTGATGCTCTAAAGCTTCTTGGGAAATAGATAATGTCAATAGCAGATTTGGATGAACATGAATTGCAAGAAAGACTTCTATTCGTGATATCTCCAACGTTAGCTATTTTTAATGAAGTAATTGATGAAGAAACAAAAACAGCAAAGAAAATAAAGAAAATTGAATTGAATAGGTTAATTAGAGAAAGGCCCCATATATTAACTCTAAAAAAAGCTTCGACGATAGGCAAAAAATTAGAGAAAGAAATTCCAAATTTATGTTTAGAAATTAAAGAAAATAGAACCCATTTGGAAAACCCAAGCTCATACAAAAGATACTTTAATGCATTACTTAATGTTTTTTGTATCTTTTTTCAATCTCTCCTTACAGTATTGCAACAAAAAGTTGTTAATAATAAGAGGCATCAACGTGGACTTCCCCTAAAGTTGCACAATGTAAATCAAATATCAAGAACTACTACTTTATTAACTTCAATGCTACTTACTATTGCTACTTACTATTGCTTTTTCTGGAGCAAAGATTTGGCTTTCAACTATTATATCATCAATTTGTCAAAATCCAAAATTATTGCCACATTTACGAGAAATTTTTCATTCGTTATCTATTATCGCATATACTAAAAGGCATGAAAGTTGTCTTGAAAGATTAAAAATGCATAGTATAGATCCCAGAAACAATCTAATTGAAGGACCAAATATCTGGAACCTTGCAGTAATTGATAATATTGATTTTAAAGCTTCTACCTTTTCATAGCAATATTTTTGATATTACACGACAGACCTCATATGCGACATTGTGAATGGTATTCCAGTTCACTCTTCCTACTTCACTTGACTATTCAGTTAAAAGTTATGAATCTATTAATCAACCGCTATTTAGAGAGTCTTCAACTACTGATGACCTTTTATAAAGTATGAAATGATTTTGAATAGAATGTTAGAGAGTCACGTAACTGATTTTGAAATGGAAGATGTACACTTTGAAATAACCAAACAAGTACCTCTAGGTTGCAATATTTCACCACTCAAAGTTGTAATATTTGAAACCTGGTGATCCACCCAATTGCAATGATGATGTTCACACAGCATGTAAGATGTATCGTAACGATTTACCTCAAAGTTGTAATGAACGTCTATACATTGCATGTGATCAAGCAATTTTTGGGAGATTAATTCTCTATAAAGAAACTCACAATGATGTTTGACTTCTTTTGGGGCAGTGGCACACATCTAAAGATATGTGCAGCACTTTAATTACGATATTTTCTGGATATGGTATATTTAACCTTGCGGCAACTCTTAGAGTATGATATCTAGAAAAGTTTGAGCATATAGTAGATTACCGAGCAACATACTGTGTTTTAGAATTAATATGGGTGGCGGTCAGAATTGCATTGTGTCAGCACATTAAAAAAGAAGAAAAAACAATGAGTGATATTTTAAATGGGAATAATTACCTAATAAAGGTGTGGTATCTCTTCTTCTGCTGGACAGGATACTTCATAGATTATAAAATCGGAATTAGAAAAGGAAACTACAGCATGCAGATAGCAAATTTGGCTGCATTCACACCTCTTTTTCCTGCAGCTAGAAAATTCAAATATGCAAGTTCCATAGTGCACTTTTTAGCTCAGGTTTATGATGATTTGCAGCTACAAAATTTACTACAAATAGTGTGTTTAGTAAATCTTACAAGCAAAGGACATTACTTTGCTTTTGATGAAGCACTTGAAACGTATAGTGTAAAATTTATTAAACAAAATATAACTGATAATATTACTGACCAAGAAACTATGATGCTAAAAATTAAAGCAGCCCAGAGTGAGAGAGATCAACTATTAATTCTTCTTGCGGAATACGTTGATGATGCTATAATGAGACAAATTCTCATGCAATCAAGTCACACAAAGATTCTCTCTGGTCGCTAGTTGCAAATCTGTTATCTGCCTTTGATCATCCAAATCCTGCAATACATTACTTGTTTGAAGATGCACCAGAAATTAGTAAGGATATTGATAATATTCTTTGTTTCTACGAGACCGGCAAATTGTGCTTTCAAGAGGTACTTGAACAGGACATATACAAAACTGAGCCCCGAACCTCTGGACATTGTATGCAAAGTATAAATCATTATACTTATGCTCAGATTGAGAATATGAAAAAACATAAATATAAAGCAAACAACCCTATTCAAGAACCAATTATTCAACAGCAGAATACTTTGGTACCAGAGCAAACGTTGTTATTATCTTCCTCTACACCTAATCCTTTAAAAAGTTTAGATCGCACTACTTCAGAAATAGAAAAAACAATACTTTCACAATTACTTGAACTTGGAAATACAATATCTAATAATAAAATTCAAGATGCAGTATTAGAACTTAATACAGTTTCTTTAGATTGAACAGACAAAAGAGTTAAACAGTATTTGATAAATCACAAGAACAAGAATATTTAAAATAGCCATAGTATTAGTTATTATTTTTTGTGCATAAAATAAATTTATTAAAGTACACGACTTGCCTTTATCAATTCAAGAATTCGACTATTACATTACTATATTCTATTCGCTGAAGTGCTCCCATTTATAATACTCCTTATAAATATCTGGATTTTAAGCTATTTCAAGCTTTAAAATGCTTAAACTTTTAAAAGACTGGAATACTTTGGCAAATGGAATAGGTAATTTAATATTTTAAGCTTTTATACAAATATTCATCTAGAATTCAAAAATTTTAAAAAACGATTAGTAAAAATTTGAAGATCTTTATATATATAAACGTTAAAATCATTCTATTTGATTGTTATAAATTTTACAGAAAGAAATAAAGATAAAAATAGTTCAAAATAATGCTTTAATTTACCTTATTAAAGGGCACCTCTTAGTAAACACCTAAAAGCTGCAACTAAAGTGCCCTTGTGGCAATAATGAGTTTTGCAATACTCTTCATTTTCTGTTACTAACAAAGTAAAACTGGGTTTATTTTACAGTATTTAAAAGAGAATCTTGATATTTGTACCAAAAAATTGCAATTTTTGGGTCTAATTTTACTTAGCAAAAGCTTTAATATACGACTATTTCTGGCATAAAATAGAAGCATAAAACTCAAAGAATAAACTTGTTTAAAGTTGAAATATTACTTGTTATTAATTAGTCGAAGTGACAAAAAAAAAGGTCATGATGGCTTATATTACACAAAGAATCATTTATTAATAAGATCGTTAGGGAGGACATGTCCAGTGACTGATATTATATACTTATATATTTAATTTTTTATTTTTTTTGATTTATTGTTTGTTTGTTTTTTAGATACCACTGCAGCTTCTTTAGTTGAATCTTTTTTTGTCGTTGAATGAGTTGAGCAAGTTAATTGAGTTGGACTCTTTTTTCTTTTTTTTTCTATACAAAAAATTAAATTTATTATACATGTATATAATATTATATAATTATTATAAATTATATCTATTTGAATAAATATATAAGAGGTGTAGTGACTTAGTGAAGTGGTCTAGTTGTCACTCTCTCCAAGTGGCAGGTCTAGAGTTAGAATCTCATGGATGACAATTTTAAAAAATAGACCTGTGTTATGGTAATCTGTATATCATGATTGGATTTTGGATTGAGGATCTGTAACTCAAGTTGTACCAAGGAGTGATCCAGGGAGATCTGCTGGTGTTTGTACAACTGAGAAAACCTGGAAACTACAAAGAAATGCAAACCGGTTTAGAGCAGTGCAAACACTTGATAAGTTCATAATCACGTATATCTTGGGGATCACTTTTACCATACAGGAAGCCTATTTTGAAAGTCCTGAGTTTGGAGGTAGCAGTGATCTTCGATGGTACTACATGAAGGCTGAATTCAAACTGGGGTTCGAGGTTGGAGAACTGAGTGACCAGGTCCTTTAGTGAGGGGACACACCAGCCGAACTACCAGTTTAGACACACCAGAGAAAAAGGCCATATGCTTCATAAGTTTAGACCAAGAGGAGGGCGTCCTTCAGGCACTTGAAGCCTGGGCAAACCAACCTGTCCAGATTGCTAGCTGGAAGTAAGGGAGGGACCAATAGAATATTCAGGTAAGAAGACAGTTGAAGTGTGGGTATCGGGGTTGTTGTAAACCAATATTAGAGCAAGAGTATGTAATAGAAAACTAATTAGGAAGGTTGTGCTTGAGATACAGATTGTGTTATAGCAGCACCTCAAAAGGTGGCATGAGATACGAACACAATGATGGAGACAATATGTACTAATTGAGAAGAAATACCAAATATACAGGTAAATACACATGTGAGACATGGACCACTCAGTTAAGTTTATCTCGTGGATAGATTAGCCTCTTTGGAGTTAGTAAGTTCTAAGATGAGTACAAAATCAGATTAGACAATAGTGAACTATCTGTGTATAGTAAGCTACACCTCAGGTTAGATAGTATCCATTGGTTTGGAAGTAGGTTACAGTCAGAGGTTTAAATAGGTACCCACTAGTTGGGGTACAGGTACAGCAGATAGTGTAGAACCTTTGGGTGGACTACTTAAATTAGGCACTCAAAAGGTGCATATATGGCTAGATATACCCTTACTGTAATTGAAAAACAAAACTATCTAATAAAATGTTCTCTGGCCAAAGAGGTCACCTTAATACCAAAAAATAAATAAATAAATAAATATATATACTGATTATTTTTTAAATTTTAAAATAGGATTATTAAGTGCAATTTTAGATACTGCTTGAGAACCTTTATTAAAAAAAATTAGATTTCAAAATTTTATATATATTTTTTAAAAAACAATAAATAAATTAAATATTTTTTACCTGAAGATTAATGAGTATTATTATTATCTTTGATTATAGTCTCACCTGAAAATTGTTAAGTATTATTATTATTTTCAATTATAGTTTCACCAGAAGATTATTGATATTATTATTATCATCAACTTCAATTATATTTTCACCAGTATATTGTTGAATATTTTTATCTTTGATTATATTAAAAAATTGTTGAGTATCATTATTATCATCTACGATTTCATTAATAGGTAGTGCAAACCAAAATTCTCTATTTGGCTTATTAATTAATGGTGAACTACTTTTATCAGATAATTCAGTAGAAGATAAATTTTTATCTGATAAAGATTGTTGAAGGTTATTATTATTGTTGTATTATTAGAAGATAATACTGTTTGAGAACTTATTGAAAATGATGTTTTTTTATTTTTTAGAGGTGTTATGTTTTTGCGTTTTGGAGAAGCAGAGATGCCCTTTTTATGTGTTTTCTTTATTTTAGCCTTACAAATAGTTTTCACTATAAAATATTTAATAATATTATATAATTAATTAATTAATTAATTATATTGATAATATATATTTGATAATATAAAAAAAATCACCTGAATGATCAAATGTAAGAACTAATTACAAATTTGTAAATTGTTGTATATAAAAACATAGTAATTGATATTATTTTGTAGCATGTAGTTTAGCGTTATAGAAGGTTGTATTAATATATTGTTTGATTGATAAAATTTTGATATAATAAAATATAATAATACTGTGACAGTAATATTATGAATTTTAGTTGGTAAAAGTAAGATTAGAATTATATTAAATAATTAATATAATTAATTAGCTGTTTACAAACTTGCATTTTTCTATTAAAAAATCAAATTAAAAAGAAAGAAATTAAGAAGTAATAACAATAAGAAAATAAAAGTATTTATATATAAATTTACTTAAAAATACTGCGGCTTGATGTATATTTTTATATTGAATTTCAGTTGGTAAAGTAAGATTAGAATTATATTAAATAATTAATATAATTAATTAGCTATTTACGAACTCGTATTTTTGCTATTAAAAAAATCAAATTAAAAAAAAAGAAATTAAGAAGTAATAATGATAAGAGAATACAATGATCATCTGGACCATATTTTCTGAAAAACGTTTTGACTAAAAAACAATAACATGCTGCAAGAAAAATATAAGACATGGGAAAAGAGCGTAAGAAGAACTGCACTTGTCGTTTAAAGGTAGTTCTCATATGCTACTTGCCTACAAGCTTAGAGTTTATCACTTACGGCAGCATAGCACTTGTCGTTTAGAGATAGTTCTCATATGCTATCTGCTGACAAGCCCAGAGTTTATCACTTACTGAAAAAACTTAGTACTGTGCAAACTTGTGGAACACCTGTTGATGTCTTTAGAACTCACACTCATTTGAATATGTGCCAGTGGTCTTCTTTGTGTTTTTCGCTTTTTGATGTTCTTACCAAAAATTTTGACAAAAAAGTGGGCATTTCAGCTTACTCCCTCCAAAAGATCAGTATTGTTTACACCTATCTAATTCAGATATTTCAGTAGAATGCAACTATGATATAAGGAAGAGATTGTCACCTCTGTTTAGAAGATACCCGAGTCGAGTCAGTGCCCAGAACAAGTCCCAAAGCTAAACTGAAAGGTTTACAATCAAGATATAGTAATTAGTTACAATTATTATATAATTTTTATCTTTATACCTGGCACAGGCTATAATAGTGTGTCATGACTACTTTCTTTTTTTTTGCTTTTTTCATCTTTGTTCATTTATGTTAGACTATTTTAGAAATTTTAGTTTAGTTTTTGTTTTTTTTATCACCGTGAGGTGTTTTTTTTCTAAAATGTTTATGTTTCTCATAAACATGGCTTTATATTTTTATTTTTATATATGAATAAGGGTTCTAATTGTGTTGTTGGGCTTAGGTGAAAGAAGAGGAGGTAGTTATGATGGGCGGCAAGGTCCACTGTTGAAAGTTGGGTCATATCCAATTGCAGAAAGGGTCTGGAAGGAGAGAAATTTTGCTATAGCAGATCAAACATATGACTGCCAAATTTTTTAAAAAAAAATAAAAAAATAATGATAAGAGAATAAAAGTATTTAAACATAAATTTACTTGAAAATACTGCAGCTTGACATATATTCATATATTAAATTTCAGTTGGTAAAGTAAGATTAGAATTATGTTAAATAATTAATATAATTAATTTAGCTGTTTACGAACTTGTATTTTTGCTATTAAAAAAATTAAATTAAAAAGAAAAAATTAAGAAGTAATAACAATAAAAGAATAAAAGTATTATATATAAATTGACTTAAAAATACTATAGCTTGGTATATATTTATATATTGTAAAGAGAAGAATAGATCTTTAAGGTTTCAAGTTTTCTAATACAAGTAAAAGAAAATTATAAACACTCTTATCAAATATAACTGCCTCTATCATATAGATTATATAACATTTCAGTTTGTAAAATGATCAACTTGCTAGTATAACGACATCAGAACTTGTTTTTGCTATTATAACATACAAATATATTATATAGTAGTATATAGAAACAAAATGTAAAGCAAAGAGAGAAAAACAAGAAAGAAAAACAAGAAAGAAAAACAAGAAAGAAAACAAGAAAGAAAAATAAGAGAGAAAAAAAAAGAAAAAAAGAAATATTAGATTTAGTGAACTACGAATTCGTAATTTGCTAAATATATAAAAAATATATATAATGCTTTGATATAAATATAAGATAATTAAAATAACTTTAAAAGAAAGAGTAATAACATTAAAATCAGTGCCAAATTTTGTTTATATAAAATCATTTACTGATTAATGATATGATTATATTATTATGATGTCATATGTATATTAAAAAAATTACTTGACATTGATAGTTAAAAATAATTAATAATTTAGTAATATTGATACGTATTAAATATGATATATAGGTAATTTGAAAAAACCTGATTAAATCTTGTCTATGTATGTAAGTTAAATATCATATGTATATATATACGTATAACAGATATTTATATAGATTTTTTTTATTTTTTATTTTTTTTTTTTAAATTTTCGAAAATTGATTCATTTTTTCTTTACACTAAAATTAAATCAAACATATTATTTTGGTATTATTATAGAAAAACATAACATAACTAAGTTGATTAATTTCAAAAATAAGAATTGTGCTTATAAATTCAAGACTAAGGTGGCAATTAACAAATAGAGCATTTAATCGATAGATAGAGTATCCAATCAATAGATAAAGTATCCAATTGACAGATAGTGTATCCAATTGACAGATGAAGTTTTGCAGTATAAAAATATTGTAATATATTACAAATGAATCAAAAACATCTTTAAGGATGTAACAGAAAGAGTAGTGGTTATGACTCCTATGTGTGAGGTGGGCATATTAAAATAGTTTTTTGAGATTTTTAATTTGTTTAAATAGATAAGAGTGCAATTTAATATGTAAAATTAGTGAAATTAGTTTTGAAGAGTTTTGTATATGGAAGAGAGATAGTAAAAAAATATAGTCTATTTAAATAGCTATTTTAAAGCTTAATAATATTTCTAAGTATAAATTAAATTTAATTAATATTATTAAATTAATGAAAAAATTTAATAAATTATATTTATTAATTAAGAAAAAAATAAATAAATAAATTATACTTAATTAAAGAAAAAAACCCAAAAGTCATACACAAAGAGAAAGAAAAAAAAAAGATAGCAAGAAAATATTGGTCTATTAAATAGTTATTTTTAAAGCTTAATAATATACTAATTATATAATTAAATTTAGCAGCAAACTATATAATCACATTATGCAAAATCATAATAAATATTAAATTAATCTAAAAAATATCTAGAGTTGTACAATGAAAAGAAAGAAAGAAAAAGATAGATGGTAAAAAGGTATTAGTCAATCAAATAGTTAATTTTAAATCTTAATAATACACCTAATTATACAAATAAATTTAATTAATATTAATAAACTATATTTATTAATTAAGACAAAAATAAATAAATAAATTATACTTAATTAAAAAAAAACCCAAAAAAGTTGTATATAAAAGAGAGAGAGAGATAGCAAGAAAGTATTGATTAATTAAATAGTTAATTTTAAAGCTTAATAATATACTAATAAGTAATTAAATTTAGCAGACTATGTAATCATATTATGCAAAATCATAATGAATATTAAATTAATGAAAAAACCTAAGTCGTATACAGAAGAGAAAGAAAGAGAGAGATAGCAAGAAGGTATTGGTCAATTAAATAGTTATTTTTAAAGCTTAATAATATACTAATTATATAATTAAATTTAGCAGCAAGCTACATAATTGTATTGTACAAAATTATAATGAATATTAAATTAATGAAAACCCCAAAAATCATATATGGAAGAGAAAGAAAAAGAGTGAGATAGCAAGAAAGTATTAGTTAATTAAATAGTTATTTTTAAAGCTTAATAATATACTAATTATATAATTAAATTCAGCAGTAGACTACATAATCATATTGTACAAAATCATGATAAATAATATAGAAGAGAAAGAAAGAGAGAAATAGCAAGAAGGTATTGGTCAATTAAATAGTTATTTTTAAAGCTTAATGATATACTAATTATAATTAAATTTAGTAGCAAGCTACATAATTGTATTGTGCAAAATTATAATGAATATTAATGAAAACCCCAAAAGTTATACATGGAAAAAAAAGAAAAAGAGTGAAATAGCAAGAAAATATTAGTTAATTAAATAGTTATTTTTAAAGCTTAATAATATACTAATTATATAATTAAATTTAGCAGCAGACTACGTAATTGTATTGCATAAAATCATAATGAATATTAAATTAATGAAAAAATCTCTAAGTCATACACAGAAGAGAAAGAAAGAAAGAGATAGCAAGAAGGTATTGGTCAATTAAATAGTTATTTTTAAAGCTTAATAATATACTAATTATATAATTAAATTTAG